TATTATAACAGTTAGCATTTTGTTTTTATGTTATGTTATAATTGCAATCGCTAAAAAACAAAATGGTTCATGTAGAGCTTGCTTAATAGGTACTTATAAATGGCGGATGATCTGTCAAGTGCAGAAGCCGGCCCAACTCGTTCCGCTCTCATCGCTCTCAATTCGCAACTGGGCATCGACTAGTTTTTTATAAACAAACAATTTCTATCACGCAAAAACGGTTCTATGACACTGATCTAACGACATGTCCGAGGTGTTAATAAAAGTAACTGGAAAGAAAGTCAACAAGCTCTAAATAAATAACTTATTTGATATTTTATGGAAATCCTTAATATTTTAAGCAAACACTTGAGAGGAAATATTTGGCAATGTATTTTTAACCAACTGAATTGATTAATGACCTTCAAATAATAGGTTCTAAACGTAATTGGCGTCCGTTCCACGTCTAATAAAATTATTTTTCTATTTTTATTTTTAAAATGCTGCACATTAATAACCTAACTTAGTTACGCTGTTCAAAGAACCGTAAAATACAGATAGCCGTAAAATATGCTATTAGGCAAGACAAATACTTTAACAGTACCTGCATTACGTATGTAAAGAGTAAAAACAAACACCAAACCTCAGGAAAAAATCTCATACGAAATTAGTTTATTATGAATCTTTCTCTTTAAAGCCGAAAATCTTTATCTTAGTTACGCATACTCTCTAATATGTCATAGATTTTATAGAACTTTGAGTCCATCATAATTTAATGGCTATAGTTGTATAGAACCTTACTCATTGTCCGATAAAAACATCTGAAAAAGTACTCGTACCCAGCTTACGTTTAGATATGTCATTTGTACCTATATTCCATTTCTTCGATAAACATTAAAATGTCCTGTTGTCTAAGACCACAGGGTAACAAAAGTTATTAGCGACCCCTTTCTAGATAACTTTATGCACAATGCACATGTATCAATTATATATTTTTTTGTTATATCCTAAACTATGTAAGCAAATCACATAGGTGCAAAAGTCAAATTTTATTTTTATGATTAAAGTAGGTACTTGTGATAGTGAAAAAAATTATTTTTATAAGTATTGTAGTTCAAATAGTTCAAGTCTAAGTATTAGTTAATCAAAATAAAATATATCCCATCAAAAACATACTGTAAAAATATTGCAAGTCTCGCAACGCATCTCTCTACCGCAAAAAGCTATGAGATATAATGTAAAACCAAGTCGGTTAATTTATTCATTACCTATCTATGGAAGCATCTATCCGACAACTTTGTCATAAATCGTTACCGAATTAGTTAAGTCACAACATTTTATAGTGACCGTACTAATATTAGATATATTTATTTCTTTAATTAATAGAATGACTTGGCCATCGCACGGAAACATAATCACATAAGAGTCTACTACTTTAAATAGTCCTAATTAAAAATACCATGACCAAGGTGGACTGACGACTTGGTCAAAGTCGCTGGAGCCCACTGGATGCGGATGGCACAAGACTGGTTGTCGTGGAAATTTTTGGGGGAGGCCTATGCCCAGCTGTGGACGTGTTTGGGCTAAAATGAACGGAACATAGTACTAGCGGGTCAAATTGATGTATACACAAACAATACATAAATAATGCACTCAGAACGTTAATATTAGGTAAATTTTGTTATTGGTAGGTTCTGTTATCATGTGCGATGGCCAAGTCATTCTATTAATTAAAGAAATAAATATATCTAATATTAATACGGTCACTATAAAATGTTGTAACTTAACTAATTCGGTAACGATTTATGACAAAGTTGTCGGATAGATGCTTCCATAGATAGGTAATGAATAAATTAACCGACTTGGTTTTACATTATATCTCATAGCTTTTTGCGGTAGAGAGATGCGTTGCGAGACTTGCAATATTTTTACAGTATGTTTTTGATGGGATCTCATTTCTTTTTGTAAATATTTCTTCTTTTGCCCTTTTCTTGTACTATTTCTTGTGTGTCAGCTAAGGACTTCTTAAAAGCCCACTCTCTGTCACTGTGGGCTTTTTTCAGAGGCTTTGATATAACAAATTTTGACAAGTCTGGATGATAAAAAATCTAAGTCTATTGTATTCGGAAATTGCGGATTCCTGCGTTTCATTACTACTATCTTATGCATTAAGTATAAATATACATATAGTTAATTTAATGAATATTTTAATTTCATTGTTGACCCTAAATACCTACCCCGATACTGATATTGAACTTACGTAAGTTTAATAAAACGTGTAGATTTATGTGTCTATCTGCGGCATCGTAGGTAAATCCCGAAGGTTGTTATACTTAATTATTATTGCTTGTTCAGTCAATTTTGATGCAGTTTAATAGAAAAGTGAGGTTGCCAACTCACTTCATTCACTGATTCCATTGGCCATTTTAAAAGTAATTTTCGAAGAGATTGATATTTAATGACCTCTATATTCCATGTTCTATTAGATGTGTACAGTTACGAGCAATGAAATGTTAACAAGTTTTCTAATTCAAATCAACATCATACTTTATAAAAGAAAATATACGAGCTTTGATTCAAAATATGTTGGGGCAGTAACACACAGAACCATCTAGTTCCATGGTAAGCTACGAGGCTTGTGTTATGGATACTAGATAGTTAATACACTACACATATATAACTTTAAATACATACATATAAACACCCATGACTGGAGTACAAACTTTAGTCATCACACAAATGAATGCCCCCAGCGGGACTCGAACCCGCGACCGGCCGGGCCACTACAAACTGAGCCAAACGTGTCGTCAAAAATTAAGTAATCGTCAAGTTTTGTCGTAATTAGGTATATATTTTAATAAATTCATTATAAATAACAGGTAATCGAATATTAGTTGGTAATACACTATACACGCTTCACGTTGTATTTATGTACCCATTTGTATATGCATAAAAATGTATACAGTTACTGAAAACGCTTGAAATAATATTTTCACATTTGAATAATATTTTTCTAATGTATACAATAGTTGCAATATCAACATTAATAAATAAATAGACGAATCGTGATTAGGTTAGTAATTACGAGGGAACATAGGATCGAACATACAAACAAATACAACAACAAACATACATATATACAAATACATACAGGTTAAACACTAACCTAACCTCCTTTTACATTGCAAGTGACGACAATTATATGTATGAACTGCACAAGTAACTTTGTAATCCCATATATCGCATATCTATTTGTATAGGATTACAAAGTTACTGATGCAGTTTGTTGTATATCTCGAAAACAGGATTGAAATTGCGTGATGTTTGAATTTTTCCTTGGGTTATAGAGTAAACACGAATTGTGTTCAAAATTTGAAGCTTCTATGTCTGCTAGAAGTACCTTAGAATTTTGATGATCGGTGAGTGAGTGAGTGAGTGTGTGAGTGACGATATTAACGAATTTTGATCTGCAACAGTTCATAAACTACTGGTTCAAATTGAATGTAATTTGGAAATGTACCTAGTTTTATTATGTTCTCTTAGTCACTCAAAATTCAAGCTTCTAGCTTTATCCATAACGAAGTTATGGGGGGGTGGAAAATGCTCTGAATCCCTTCGAGAAAAGGATGGTACTGCCGTGCCCTTTTTTGCTCGACTTGTTTGCTCGACTTGGCGGGGGCACTGCCGTGCCCCCCGATAAACAAACATATAAATATACTGTTATATTTATATGTTTGTTTATATGTTTATATAACTGTTAAAAAAATTAAAATATATGGTCTAGGGGACTTTTTGTACAGCTGCTTAGCTTGTGCTTGGGGTTTAGCTATTATATATTAATTTTATATATATATATATATATATATATATATATATATATATATATATATATATATATATATTAATTTTAATTTATTACCATTTATACAGCGCTCGTCATTAAAGCATGCAAGCTTTACATCCTACTTTTTCTGCCCACTCGACTTGCTAATACCATCAAAGCACAGCTCCTATAAGTTCTAGGGCAATTTTTTATACACTAAAATCATTTAAAAAATGCAAATTATTACAACAAAATCTTTATCCAAATTCTATCAGTAGTTCTCGAGATTATCTCTACGTACGCACTAACGTATAGACAGACTTTCGATGGCAACTTCCTTTCATATAAAGGATTTAGCCCTGCTGAGCGGCTTCCCAAAAATTATAATATAATATTTTACAGATATGGTCCATATATTTTTAAAGTAAATTAATTACATGGTAGTCGAGTTTTAAAATTTTAATTAAGACAGAAATACTCAAGGAGAGTATTCTCAGTAAAAGTACCAGTATAATCGAGAAAGTTATAAAGTTTAATGGAGTCATTTAATTTTTTTTTAGTTGGACTCGATAAGAAGTTAGTAGGTACTTGTTTGGACTAATTAATACTTAATAAAAAAACATTCGCTAGAAAACTAAAAACTACATGCAGTTTTTTATTATAATTAACGTTAAAATACTTAAAGCACATATGAATATTTTTCTAATCATAAATACTTTTTGCTCTCTAGCATATCATGTAAAATTTAAATTTATAGAAAATATTACTACTTTAGTTAACTAAGTTTTACGCGAATATTTGACATTTAAATAAAAGTCTTTTTGGATTTTTTACACGGCAGAATATGACCGTCTTTCTCATGACGATTGCTGTACAGCGTAAAAAAACATTCGAAACATCGAGAACCAAAAATCAAGATAAATCCGCAAAAACGTCCGAAAAGATAGTTTTATTTAGTTAACTACTTCATTTTGTTTTACTGTGAAGAGTAAGAAATTAATGTTTGAAATTATTGAATAATTTGTATTGCAGTTGGCGAAATAAGAGTTGGATTTTATCATTTTTATATATTTTTATTTATTTTTTATTTTTTTATTTTATATATATATATATATATATATATATATATATATATATATAAAGTTACATCCAAAACGAAATAATAGTTCATTTAACAAAGTTCAATTAATATTAATCAATTCAGTCGAGTCGATATTGTTGCGATCTCATGTGTCCCGTACACGAGCGCGACATTAAACGGCATCAATTTTATCCCATTTCCTGAGAGACTAGCTCCCTGCGACTGAGACCCACTGCGAATTATATTCAATATTACTCTTGGAGGTCAAATCTGTCCATGTTCATAATATGAAGTGGAACAAAAAAGTTATTGAAGGTATTGATATTGCATTTTATTATGTATTCTAATAGCTTATATCCTGGTAGCCTTTTTATGATAATAATACTATAGTAAATTCAAAGTAATTCTCGTCCGAATCCTCTATCCACCAATAAAAGTTTAATTAAAAATTGTTTACTCATTTGGAAAATTAGCTATAGCATTAACATCGGAATTGTACGAATAACCGTACGGCAAAGACTAATTTTATAAGCACGACCTATAAATTAAACAAACATTTATAAGGTGTCATCCAAATAAATTAGCAAGAAATACTTATCTCGTCCATAACAATTATTTATGGTGAAAGTTACGGATATCCTTGTAATATGATCATTTTCAATTACTACAATAAATTTTTACACGTAATTGGCGGCTCCACTGACGTCCGTATTATGTTTAAATTCAACAATCATCAAATATAATCAATCAAGCAGATATTATCAAAACTATATATGTAATACAGTATGTAGTTGTGTTCTTACAGATGAAGTGCTTTTACTCGAAGCTTAAAGTTTTTTTAATGCTCCTTAAATCTGATTGACGTTTATAATTTTTATTGTACCTACATAAAATTTTATAAAAATATTGCTAAGACATACCAGGTGCTTCGGTCCATGATATAAATTGAACATTATAATAGTAATTAGTAGTCTAACAGCATATTGTGTCCCCATAAAACGTATGTAAACAGGTTACACAAACAAAAAAAAACGTTTTTATAGCGGAAGAGAGAATTAAGAAAAAACGTTCTATCACGACGTTTTAGTTTTTATCATTCTCATTACTATGTAAGTTAAAATAAAACAAATTAAACATTTTACACTGATAATTTTAAGTATAAAATTTACCTGAAAAAGTATACGTACGTAATTAAAAAGTAATAAAGATTATGTAAAAAGTAGACTTACGGTTGGCTTTTACGTGTCATTTTCGTTTTCATAAAATTCACTTGTGAATTAAAACACTGGTTACGGTTCGTTGTTATTAAAACAAATTACACAAAACACAAACACGACTCGAATAAAAAATGTTCAAAATTGGATATATGGCGGCAATCATATGAGCATGTTTCCCTTCGCGATTGTCTAACCACTCTCCGAGATCTCGACTCGATGCAGAAGCGATATGCGCCCTACTTCAACTTTACAAATCGGTTATGTGATAGAGACAACACATACACTTTTTGTATTAATAGAAAGAGACAGAAATATAAATATTATAATCGAATCTGACTTAAAAATATTTTAATATAAAACACGTTGTAAATAACCTATAAAAAATATTGTGATTTAATATTTTTAATTATTATAAAAATACTTTAAAACCTACATAATTACTATTTTATTCAAAAAATGCATGTCTGTGGCGCCATCTGTGATAAAATATTAGTACCAGTTGCTCTTAGACTACTATGTATCTTATACTAATCAATAGTCATTGATTTTCGTGCGTAGTATATAGTTGAAAACCTAGATGGCGTTAGTTATACTCTTATCCCCATTTATGATTTTATAATGTTGGGACATTAACACACAGCACCACCTAGTTCCATGGTAAGCTACGAAGCTTGTGTTATGGATACCAGATAGTTGATACACTAAATAACAAACACATACACAACAACAACATAATAAGCTTAAACTTGATTTTGTAAACAGTATGCTTGATAAATTGGATTTCTTCCAGGCTGATAAACCGTGTTACTCTATTGTTGAAAATGTTCTTATTATTATTGAATATTTGTCATATTTTTAATATCCATACTAGCTTAGTACTTAGTGTAGTATAGTATTATATGATCTGTGGTACTTATCACATAGTTATAAAATGGGACCCATTGCAACCAAAAAAAATATTTCAAACAAATATCAATCAATTTACTGTAAAATGTATCAATTAAAAACAATACTCTTATTTAAATAATATGAAATACCTATATAATTTGCTTTTGAATTTCTCAAACTTCTGTATTTTTTTATTTTAGGTACTGATTGCCAAATCAGGCATTAAGTTATGGGTTTGAACTGCGTACATAACTATTACCTATTTACATTTTATGAGTTCCGCACGATTAATAAAATTAAAGCTACTAAAAATTTGTAATTAATAGCTAAAGTAAAAGTATTTTGCCACATTTTGCATATAATATTTTGGTATCTGTACCTACTAGTAGGTACTAGGTACCTATATTATGTCCTTTGTGCTTACTATAATCCTCGCCATCTTATTATACCAGCAATACCATGGTCCAAAATAAAATCGTATAAAATTAAGGGTTAACTATATCTCACCATCGTAGGTATAAACTGGCCATATGATTTAACTTAGTCGGTATTTAAAAAAAATATTAATAATTAATTAAAGCAATAGCAAGTCCTCTTTTGGAAAAAAACCAAGTCTATTTAGTTTTGTTTCGTCCTTCACACCATAAAATAAAAAATAATTTATTATACTGGGTACGCTATAAAAGTTATTTCATTAATTAAAAATATTTCTGCTAGCGGCTACTTACAATTGAATCTTTTTTCCTTCAGCCTGGGTGATCGTGGCGGGAGGTGGTGGCAAGTCGTCCATCGGAACTTCCTCGTTGGGCGGCGAGGGTGGCGACTTGTCGAACTCCGCAATGGGCGCCAATTCCGGCATCGGTGATACAGAATTACTATCCATCGCTGACAGCTTTATGGGAGACACTTTGCTTACTTCTTAACCTCCTGTAGCCCCCGGATTACCGGAGGATATAACACTATTGCAATCAAAAATCCAAACACTAAACTGAGTCCACGCGATTATATCAAGTTTATAGAACAAATATCGTTCGTGTCGCGAAAATCAAGATTGTAGAAAGTATTACGACGACAAGTTTCGAGATTAACTCGTAACTTCGAACAAAGTTAGGTATCTGAAAGTAATTCTATTTATTTACTGTTCTTTGAAAGAGCGCTCGTTTCAGTTCCCATCGCTTAAAATTACGGGATAGCAAATATATTTTGATTGCAAATTCTTTGGCCGGAACGAGAAAATATATATAATTTTAGTTGGATGACGCGAAAAAATGTTCTGTGTAAAGTTGGTTATTACAGCTATTAATATTTAATATGATTATGAATTTAGAAAATAATAAAAAACCATAAATTAATTTTATAAAACTATAGTTTCTAAAAGATTGAACAGCATACCACGGAAGGGTATGCAATACTAATATTGTGATCGAACCAGACACGGAAGGACAATGTCCTACAACCCTATGATTATGTCTAACGTTCGAAGGGGTCGTCACACCAAGTTCCCGCTGTTTACACCATTAACACCATACGATGAGGGAATAAATAATAAATGTAAGCTTTACTGAACTTAAAATGCACCTGTGCCTATAATAATTATATAGCTGATTTATGATTATTCATTAGTTTCATAATATTTGTTCTTTAAAACTATTAAATGTTGAATCGTTAAGATACTAGTATAAAATATAAATACTTTATTCTATTAGGCATTTATTATTATTATAATTTTTAAAACTAGCATAGAGCTATAACTACAGATAGGATGATCAAGATGCCTAATCGATGTAATATAAAAGTACTGGGATTAAATAAAAACTTTTTAACAAAAAAATAAAAACCGACTTCAAAAAAACACTAAAAAGTAAAAAATAATGACTGGTAGTTTTCATTTACTATACATACCTAATCAAATATTTTCGAAGTCGGTGTGCTTTGCTTTGTATCGGCTGGCACCGACTTAGAAAATAATTGTTTAGGTATGTATAGTAAATGAAAACTACCAGTTATTTATATTTTACTTTTTAGTGCTTTTTTGAAGTCAAAATATCTTTTATTAGCCGTTGAAGAGTTCCACCTATCCTACCTTACCTTCTGGCCTTACCATCAGATACCAAACCGCTGCACTATCAACGGAAATAGAAACACTTGCAAAGTTTCAAGTCAATATGACAATTAGAAGTAGGTAAAATTCATCATTAGCTATTTTTCCACCCTTAGGGGTGGTATTTTTTTTGAAATTTAAATGGAACCAATCTGGAAGTATACACTTTCAAACAACACAAAAATTGTCCAAATCGGTTAATAAATGACGGAGTTCTGAGGTAACAAACATAAAAAAAACATACAGGTGAATTGAGAACCTCCTCCTTTTTGAGGAAGTCGGTTGAAAATCAAGGGCTTAGAGAAAACATAAATGAAGAACGAAGTCCATTTTAAGTGGAATTAGTTAAAAACTGCTGAGTGTAGTACTAGAAGTCCTTGCCGGGCCACTAACAAGATAACGAGTAGCAGACTCAATAGAGCGATTTGAAAAACGATGGCTATTACGTTAGCTGAATAATTACGACTTGAGTAGGCTCGAGTATCAAAAACAAATAGTAAAATCATATAGGTATGAAATATCAATAACCAATATATTGAAATAAAAGTCAAATCGTTAGCATAATATTATGAGTTATATAACTTCTCAACCACAATTTAAGGACCTTTGAGAAACTTGGTTTGATATAATATTACTGGATGGCAAAATAATTAAAATCTTTGTTATTCGAACACAATAATATCAAACAAATCATTTAGATAAGAGTGCTTACTTTGGCTTGAAATACATTTTATATTTCCATATAATCCATACATATAATAAAATTGTAACTAAGCCGAATCTGTACATTAAATGTTTTTTGGAAAATCTCATTGAAACATTATTATCGATACAGAGGCCGAATCTATAGTTTTTAGAATTTTTGTATGTCTGTCTGTCTGTCTGTTACCGCATCACAGAAAAACCACTGGAGGGATTTTGATGAAATTTGGTATGGTGATAGCTGGTTATCGGGTCAACACATAGGATACTTTTTACCACGGGAAAATGTTTCATTGCTAAGAAAAAATACAAAAACTACAATATAAGAATATACTAATATGTAAAACCTAAGAATTTGGTTTTTGGTCCGCCGCAATGAAAGCCGCGGGCCATGCTAATGTGTCTCTAAAACTCTATATCTTGAGCCAATGAAACAAATTTATCTAAAAGCAATACAACAAGAGGATATCTATCTAAAATACATTATTTATTTTGTACAAAGAACAACTGCTCTTTATATTCCCTAGAGAGTATTGTAACCACATTTTAAACACGAGTAAAACAAACGACAAGACCACTGGGAACAAAGCTGACGTCGATACTTTTAGGATTATATAACTTTAATTCCGACTCTAAACAAAATAGTAGAAATAATAGATAAGTATAAAAGTAAAGAGTTTTACATATGTTAAATCTCCCAATCGATTCTACTACCATTAAATACATCTTTTAACGTATTGTGTAATTAACATCAATTCATATGTTTATTCATTCGCCATTTAAAGTTTAATTTTATAGCAAGAGATAAAAGGTAATTAATATCCATATATGCGTTACGTGAATACAAAATTACTCTTACTTCATTCCATGCTTACAATGGAGAAATATCAAGTCAATCTAAAACAACTTAACCAAGAAATCTGCTGTATTACGCACATTAGGAGTAAGTTACCGTAAACGAAAACAAAGCGAATGAAGGAAAGTGTACTCTGTAATATACCAGTATTGCTACAAATTACAGCTCGTGTCTAAGACTTGTATAAATTGTCTGACGCCTGCGGCCGGCGTAATTTGCAGAGCTCCAACGAATGTGAAATGTGATACGAAACCAATATATCGAATGAAAGTGATACTCGGTCGAGAGCCCTTGTACTCGAAGCAGAGCTGGGACGTAACGAGGGCTATAAATAAATAGCTGCTAGGGCCTAAGGTCTAGTAAAAACGTTCATAACAAAATTTTCATATAGGCATATTTGTTCTATATCAAAGAAATGTCATTTTTAAGGATTACTTTATAAAGTAGACTTTATAAGTAGAATATTATAATATGACTGCATAGGATTACTTTATAATTAATTTTCCGTCTGTCTGTCTATCGTTCTGTCAAACCACTGTTTCTCAGGAAATCGTGGAGGTATCAAGTTGAAATTAATAACAAATACGCAGGTCTGGGAGCTGTTAAAAATCAACTACTAGAAGTTAATGCAATGGACAGATACGGGCGTTTTAGCCGTATATATTTTTTTAAATTCGCAAGAGAATCAAAACCTATAAGGATACTTCCTGTTGACCCAGAATCATGAAATTTGACAAGAAGCAATGTCTTATAGCACAAGTAAAAGGAAAAGGAAAAATCCGAAAACCGTAAATTTGTAGTTAGTACATTACAAAACAAAATTATTGTTATGAACTTTTCGTGCTACGGAACACTCGGTGTGCGAGTCAGACTAGCACTTGCCCGATGTTATGATTATGTTTTAAAAGAATCTTAGACATTGTATTTATAATTTAACATTCGTTTCCTGATAGATATGTTCAATAATAACTCTATTTATTAATTGCCTGATTGGACTGAATGACTGAATGGTCTGAAAATTTCAGCGAATGACAATCATATTTTAGAATTATTACTATTAAATAATTTAAAAATAATAAAATATTGTTTCCTTTTTAATTATATTTAATAATCAAATTGAAAATGTCTAAATAAAACTGTATTATATACGAGTAAATTATATACTTGTTTCTAAACTAATTGGGCTTGACGAGTAGAGTAAGTCGTGACTATACTGGAGTTATTATCGAGTTGAGTGTATATACTATACATACACATATTATATATTATTATATATGTTTATATACACGACGACGACGTTTCATATAAAGAGGTGGACAATTTAAAATATTATACCAAAAGAAATTCCTATTTTTAAAATGGGTCAAGACACTAGATATGAAACGTACCTCAAGATAATATAAATACGTATAATCTCTATATAATAGTTCTTATTTTTGTTACCATAAAGACCATAATGCGTGAAATGAACAGTAGTAAGTAGTATGACCGTACAGGTATTATGAAGACTGAGGCGAAGGGGCCTCGGGACTGTTAGCAAATGAGGTCGGCATGAATAGGTTCCATTGCCACAGCTAAATAAATATACATTTAGATATTAATATTTAACTTTTATATATTACTCCACCGACCACCCTCCCTCTAAAAAGTACTAAATTTTGTATTATATTCAATCGTTATGATGTAATAAGAGAAATAATCAATTACATCTAGAATGTCCTGGAAATATTTGTTGAAAATTATCTTATCGAAAAGCTTCCTAATCTTTAATTGAATTAAACGATAGCCTTCTACGTAAATATCAACGACTAATTGAATGGGTGAGAGCATCTGTGAATAATATAGAGCAAGGCTACAAAAACGACATATTATGAGCAACCAAATGTCATCAGGGTAACGCTCCTATAATAACAACATCTGTTGAAGTAGTGTAATGTCTACATATTCTTTCATCTAGAATTCTAGACCTACTAAGCTAAGATTGATTTAAAGTATTTTTGGCTTAATTTTTAAATTTAACTTTCAAATCAAATATGGAAGATTTCATCTGTACGTGCCATTTATTTAACTCATTTTTTTTAAACATTATCATATATTGTTTAACTTTTGTATCGAAGAGTAGAACTCGGTAGAAGGTAATTTTCCAAAAAAAATTACCACTTTTTTATCCCCTACAATTTGAAGAACTCGTTCATAGTGTTTGTCAAAGTCTGTACAGAAATAA